GTGTTCCTAGAGCTGTGCTTGGGCAGATATGCAACAGAGCCTCAGGCTTCATGCTGTTAGGGACTCAGGTCACCCTCATCCCTGGTCAGTATCCAGAAACAGGGTATTGCTCTGCCTAAATCCTCTGGGAGTTTTCATGTCAAAGGCACTCTTCCAGCTCACTTCCTGCATGTGTACAGGATGAAGCTTCTCAGAAGCTGTCATTGTTTTCCTTTGTGAAGTTACCTATTTGAAGGAACTTGGTGATGGTGCCCCTGTTTGATAGGCTGATCTGTGAACCAGGACAATCTTCTGGTGGCTGGGAGATGTGGTACCTGTTCCTCATGGGCCCGAGAGAGCCAAAATCCAACTTCCCTGACTTCACAGGAGATACACCAGGTCTCAGGCTACTGAGGCACAGAAAGGGTTCACTCTGCTTCGCCCCTTCTTAGGCTTGCGAGAAGCCAAGAGTGTCAGATTCCTGGGACTGGAAAAAGAAAGCCGTGAATCTGCAACCTCGCAGCGTGGGTACTGACCTGGGACACTGGGACTCTGGTCCTTCTGAGGGTGCCTTCATCATTATTTTTGGTCTAGTGATCCACCCCAATGGGTTGGAAATAATGACAAACCACAATAACAATAGCCAGCTAAACAAAACAAGTACAAACAGAAACAACAACTGAGGCTGGGAAGAGAAGTGGCCTTTGGGGATATTATTTAGAAGAGGCTTTAGACTTTGATTTCCTAGGCAGAGGAGATGGCAGATCAGCCAATGTGACCCCTCAGTTCTTAAGAAAGAGGCAAACCACATTTTCCTAAAGCTTCCTGTAGCTGAAGCGGTTGAACTGACTACTATAGTAAAAAGAGTAAGGCAAGAAAACGGGGACGTCAGCACAAAAAAGAAGGTTGGAAACCCCATGACTCCATGGTGAACAGCTAAGTAGTGCTGAGTTGCTGACTCAGAAGTGCAAGAATCCTCCTTTGCTCAGTCCCACGGGAAGAAGAAGGCTCTAATCAGCTTCCTGAGCCCTTCACTGAAAAAAGATCACACTGGGTGCAAAAGCAATTCTGAACGTAGTAGTAGCATGTGCCATGTATTGATACAGGCACTGCACATAAGGAAAAGAGGAAGTTTGCCGTGGTCATACAGCACAGGGAGACTGACAGAAAGTAAACAAGCTGTTACTCTTTATGCCATGAATTAAGACCTGAGTTAGCTGAGATGTGTGCCCCAGGGGAAGCAGTGCAGCAGGGGGGCAGGGGCAGCACTAGTCTAAGCCCATCACCAGCTGCTGGTGCGGTGGGAAGGAGCAACAGCAGTAGCTGAAGTTGTGGGAGCAATGGGACATACAAATCAAGCCTGAGACTGATGGCCAGCAGAAATGAGATCTTGTAGAGACTGGGAAATGTAAACAGAGCTAAGGGAGGAAGAAGCAGCATGACGAGCAGGCCGAGAGAGGTGATTCTCCCACCCTACTCTGCTCCTGTGAGACCCCACTTGTGGTACTGCATTCAGCTTACAAGAGGGAAATGGACCTGCTTGAGTGAGTCAAGAGAAGGCCATGAAGATGATCAGAGGACTGGAGCACCTCTGCTATGGAGACAGGCTGAGAGAGTTGGGTTTGTTCAGCCTGGAGAAGAGAAGGGTCTGGGGAGACCTTAGAGCAGTTTCCAGTGCCTAAAGGGGACATACAAGAAATCTGGAGGTGACTTTTGAGAAGGGCATGCAGTGATAGGACAAGGGATGATGGCTTTAAGCTGGAAGAAGGGAGATTTAGATCAGACATTAGGAAGAAATTCTTTACCATGAGGTTGGTGAGGCACTGGCACAGGTTGCCCAGAGAAGCTGTGGCTGCTCCATCCCTGGCAGTGTTCAAGACCATACTGGATGGGGCTTGGAGTAGCATGGTCTTGAGGAAGATGTCCCTGTTCAGTGGCAGGGGGTTGGATCTGGATGAGTCTTAAGGTCCTTTCCAATCCAAACCATTCTATTATTCTATGATTATGTGATTCTATGAAGTCTGTTTTGACAAGGTAAACCTGAGACCTCATTTCAGGATTCTGTCTGCTGACACCTGCACAGGTTCTCCTGCAGAAATAACTCATATTTTTGACTTGCCTAGCTGAACAGTCTCTTCTTCAGTGTGAATTAGCTTTGTTTCTGCAATATATTGCCTCTCCCTCTCCCCACAGCTCTCTCTCACACACACAAATTTAGACTACTTCAAAATAAAGAAATAACCTAATCCTTGGAAACAGAAATTCATTGTTACGTTTCTCCCTCAGTACAGTACCCACAGTGGAGAAAACAGACTTTTAAACTTTCCCAGCTGTTTGGGAATTCTGTGTAGAAACAGGGGAGCACCCACTTTCTCCTCCCCTGCCGCTCCTCAGCTAGGCTGTGGAGCTCGCTGCCATGACACGTTGTCAAAAAGCAAGTATTTGCCAAGATTCAGGATTGAACTGAATATGCAAATGCACATGCATGCACACACACATGCACCAATACGTATTTGCATACAGATTTATATGTAAACAGTAACTATTTTTAAAAAGCACAATAACAACATCAAAGACGTCTCGGGAACCACAGCACTCTTCATTTGCCATACAAGGGCCTTTGTTCACCGTAGACAGACTGGACTCTGCCTGCCCTGCCAGTGCCAAATCCAATCCCAAATCCCAAACAAACAGCATTGGTGAGAGTACTTGAAACACAGTACATGACAACAGCAGCCTAATGGTTAGTAGTGGAGGAGAAGAGGAGTAAGTAAACACAAGCAAAGGATGATAGTCATTTTATTAAAAGCAGATCCATCAAGCTGCTTCTGCTACTTACAGTGGCCAACAAATTCCCTCTGTCTTACTGCACTCGAAGTAGCAGGGCGCATTATTCAGCACATGAGTAATTCATCACATTCTTTCAGGTAATAATCAGTTGTTGAGCCAGACTCTCTTTCATTAAGGTCAACAGCAACACCACTATTGTAGTTGTAGAGCATGGCAGAGCTTCATGGCAACGTACTGACCAGATTAAAACAAGGATCCATGCAGGGATCCATGTAAGGAAGGTCAAAGAGTTCCCATGTGGGCACAGAGGCACATCTGTGGAGGATTAGGCCCTTAACTCACATTGAAAACCACAGGAAGGAACTCTGCACCCAGTCAAGAGGACTAGGTGTTCACGTGGCCACCAGAAAAGCCAGTTGGCCAACTGGTATTTCCCTCTTCGTGTGGAATGATAATTCAGGTGCTGAAGGATAATTGGAGAGTTGGATTTGAGGGTGGCCTCAGTACCCTGGGGGACTCTGTGCCAGCTGCTTTAAATAAAACAAGCAGGGCCTATGGTGATACTGTTTTTATGGCAGGTTTCAAGATCAGCCATGATGCTGAGCTACTGCATTAACATGGTGTGTTGCGGACATAGCACTTGCCAGTGAAGAAAGCTCCTCTGCTTTTGGTTTTGTAATGTATTTGGCCGCACGGGTCTGCTGTGCCTGTCTCTGTTTGCATTAGGTTAAACGCTCTGAAGTAGATGGGCCTAATTATGGCCTTTCATTCAAGATTAATATGAAGCCATTAAGCTGGTTTATGCAACCAGGTAGCTGAGCAACAGAAACATCTAAAACAAGTATGAGGCAATGTTGGAGGCTAAAACCACGCAATCAGCGGGCTTTCATTGTGAAAAGACATGAGAAACTCAAAAGCAAGTGCTGCCTTCATCTATGGAGTTGGGACAAAACACAGGATGGGAGAAGACCTAACTGCCCAGGACTAAAGGGCTATCAAACCCTTCACTGCTGCAACCCCAAATTGATGGGCTGAGCTGAACAGGGAGGCTCGTAGCTCCGAATGCCCCATGCTGCCATGCTGTTACTCACTTCACCCTGCACTGAGCAAAATAATCTCTGGTAGCTCTCTTTCACGGTGATGGCACATGACTGATTGCCCAATTCATTGCCAGCTTCCCATCAGAGCAAGACAGGCTCCTAAGAAACACGTGTGTTTTCCTAATGGCTGGACCAGAAAAGAGAATGCCGCAGCAGTGCTGCTGGGAGTTCTCTCTCCCTGTTTTCCAACACATCGCTCTCGTGTTTGTGGTTGTGCAGTTAGGTGAGACGCAGGCAGAATTTCTTGGTAATTAACCAGGTCTTCACCGACTTCCTTAATGCTACCTTAGGTATTTTTTTAAAAGGAGGGATTAGCTGACATGTGGGAGAGGTTAGGAGAGAAACATCAAAGAAAGAAAGAAAAATCAAAGTTAGGTTGTAAGGAAAGAGCAGAGGCATTCGAGAAAGGATTTAGGAGATCAGAGTTTACAAGAGAACAACTGAAATTTTAATAACCTGACAGTTGATTTAATTGGATGATTATAATTTGGTAGTAAATGATATTCAAACTGACTCTTTGATTGAAGTTACATTTCTTCTAAAATGCTCAGCGTGCCTCTTTTCTTTAAGCTTGGAGGAAGTGACCACAAGACAGATGTAACCCCTAGATCTCATCCACCTCAATTTATCAACAGAACCACACTTCCATCTCCCAAGGGAAAAACACTGAAAAGGAGAATCTGCTGTGGGACCTTCTTGTCTACCGAGGGCATGAAAGGACTTTTTTTGGGAGAAACTTCTTTCTGCCAACACTATAGGTCGTCAGAAGTGTGAGTAGGTTTTACCCACTTTGAAAGTTGAAGAGAATTTGTATACTTTCATGTACCCAAAGGGTACCTTTAATTTACCATCTAGATACTGTGGACAATTGCACCACCCACTTTCAGGCTACCATACACTTCCTTTAAAGTTCCGATAGCAGAAAAGCACGATCCCTTCTCTGTTTCTACTTATTATTTTCATCAGGGCAGGATACGGAAGTGCCAGGTACTTTCCAAAGAGACAATCCTTGCTGTGAAGAACGAACATTCTTAGCTTCATGTTGCTATGATTTCCAGCTCCCCGTGAAAACCACAGAGCTGTCCCTGTCAGGAGCTACAGAGAGCACACACACACACACAGACAAACACACATTAGGCACTTTGTTTTATTTTGCAAAAAAAAAAAAAAAAAGTCTTTATATATAAACCATTTCATTCTCTCTCAAAACATTCTACAACTATACAGCTGTTTGCTCCATCATTTGCATAGGAAATACCACAATACAAAAAGGGGGGGGGGGGGGGGAGGCAAAAGAAGCAAAACAGCAACCAATTCCTGCATGTTTCCATGTACAAACATTTGAAGCCTTACAAAATTATTTACATCGTTTGTCAACTATTTACATTAATAGCAACATTTCTAACTATAACAAACAAAACTATAATTTATCAAGTATATGTAAAATTGTCTTAAAAAAAAAAAGAGAGTCTATCATATACCACAAATAAATAAAGACAAACAACAGTTTTAACAAAGCTAGGTTTTCCTGCAAGATCCTTTTTTTTGGTATTTTGATTGTCTATTCTAGCCTTTGGTTGACAGCTTAATGTTACAGCTTGTGGAGTCCAGACACTTCCTAAGTTTGCTTGGTTTTCTCCTGTTGCCTGGCCAAATCCTACATGGTCTAACCTCATCTTTGGCCCTCCATCTACTATTTCTAGGCTGAACACGGTGGATCAAAGTCATTGTTAGCATAAAAGGGCACCGCCTCACTGTCTTCAGTGGAGTTTCAGCTACTTTTGTCAGCAGTAAGTTTTCCATTGCGTGTGTCAATCTCAACAGTGGATTAACTAGACTGTGCTGTAATTTGACACAAAATCACTGTATCCTTACCTTCTAGTAAATTACATGCAATATCCACACAAAACTAGATCACACTGGTGCTGAACCAGCTTAATGTGTCTGTATATGAAAATTGCATTCTAAATCCTTCTTTTTAAAGTGATACTAAGTTTAGCTTATAGTAAGAGGTTTAACATTCTGTGTTCCTTGCAACTATCCCCGTTAGTTAAGCTTCCAATGATGACTTTACGGTTCATTCTCCATGTCTTTGCCCTTTTAAGCAACTTGAAAACAAAATCCTGTTTTGAATATTCAGTGCACACCATTTTAGTTAACAGGTACGACACATCTGAATGTCTAGCTCATTTCTCTGAAGAAAAACAAAGCTAAGTCAGTATGGTTTTGAGAGGTATTTAAATAACTTTTTTTCTGTAAATGTGCCGTGTTATCAAATGTAAAACAACTGCCTTTTTTCAGATGATTGTTAGAAAACTTTTTGTATTAAACCTAAAAAGCTGATTTGCATATTTACAAAATCTTTGTCATAGCAAACATGCAACATACAGAACAAAATGTTTGTTCTATGGCTGTTTATGAATTTTCCTATGTACCTTTTTTCACAGAATGACTTAACGTTTAAGAAAAACCCCCACAAGTACTAAGTACGTCCAGTAAAAACCTGACAGATTACAATTCATGGCTTTTCCACTGTGTTCATTCACCTGCAGCCTCTCATTAATTTGTTTACTAAACATTGTCACAACAATGACAGTGCTTTGGTCAAAACACTGCAAGAGGAAAAAAAAAATGTATAAAGCTGCAATGTGTCAAGACATAATACTTGTGAAGAGATGTAACCTGCTGACTAAAGCCATATACATCATGAGAGCAAACAAGTGACTGAACACGCTGGTACTGTGATACAGTGTCTTCCCTTTTTCTGCATAAATATACAAAATATACATTTCCAGTTTCTTTCGAGATTTCTTTTAAATGGGTAACCCATACTCAAAAATTAAACTAACTTTAGTTGCGCGTCAAGAGTCAATAGGAAATTGCATAGATACAAAACAGCCTCAACGACAAGCCCAGCTTTCAGTTCTGGTGCCTCTTCATGTGGAGAGCCAGGTGGTCAGAGCGGGAGAAGCTGCGATTGCAGACCGCGCACTGGAAGGGCTTTGCCCCTGTGTGCTTCCTGTAGTGGCGCGTTAACTCATCTGAGCGAGCAAATCGCCAGTCGCAGCCCTCCCACGTGCACTTGTATGGCTTCTCACCTGAAAGAGAGCACAGAGAAATGACAATGTCAGCTGCCACTCTTCAGGAGAAAAATGATTCAAGATCATATTGCATGGCACTGCTCTTCAATTTAAACCAGAAATAAATGACAATGACAATGGAGGAGCTGATGCTTCTTCATGTATCTATTCAGTAGGCCTCAAACCAACAGCCCCTTTGTTTTTCCAGCAAATCTTGCTCTTCTCTCTCATCTCCAGAGGTCCCTTTCAATTCTATCAATTCAGTGATTCCATGATTTAACACATAAAATATACGAAACCTTCAAACACACAAATTAGAGGCAGCTATGGTACAGAAAAATCACAGAGAAAAAAAAAAACCCTGCATGAGACTGAAATACCCCCCCTTACACTCATCTCAGTGTGTGAGGGAGTAGGGGAAAAAGCAGTTGAATGTGACAATCCGGCCTAGTTTGTGACTTATGCTTGCACCTTTTTAAAATGGGTAAATTAAATTATAGAGAGTTTTTTTAAGAGGTCTGAAATGGGAAGGAAGATTTCTATAAAGATTCTTTGTAGTGTGCAGATTATTCAAGAGCTTCTGATGTGCAAAGAAAGGGGTACAGTGTGTTACAAACACCACATGGATAGTATTTTCTAAAATCTAAGGGGCAATAAACACTTGTGGTATCCCAATTTGGGCTAGCTATATGTAGGAGAAAGTACCTGAACAATCAAAGCAGTTTTAAGAATTTAACATTTAACATATACAATCAGGTGTTTAAACAGCCATATTTTAGTGCTTGCAGTATCCATCAGTCTATACTGATGTATGGGGAGCATGTCATCTCTGAGAACTTGCTGTGTTACAGCAGCTCCAAATACAGCTTCAAACTATCCAGCTGGTCTTGAACACACCAGCCCGAGCACCTAAAATGATTGCGTTCATCCATTTTAGAATCATAAATGAGGTATTTTAAGCATGCCTGTTATTTATAGGTGTTTGTTGAAATGGAAGAACTATAAAGCCACAAAGCCAAGTTGACTTCTGTGTGAAACCAGAACTTTCTGCGTGTAAGTACACCTGCTCAGAAGCGGGTATGGACATGATGTCACCATGCAAGCAAGCTTCATATAAATAAAGAGGCTAAGATTACCCATTTATAGGCTATTCCTTGATGTTGGTTGACAAAAACACTTTTCAGTTGGGAGAATGGATTGTTATCTATAGCCTTTATATTAATTTGACTCATTTGGCAAAAAAGAGAAAGAAAAATGAATTTGTCAAAGCACCTGGCAGTAGCTTCATCTGGAGCAGAATCAGAACATGCCTGAGCTTTCCAAAAAGTCTTTTCCAACACATCTTACAGAGCTTCTGCCCCTCCATCAGTCTCAGACCTTTACCCTCACAGTCTCAATCCACAGCTGAGTGGAGTGACTCCTACTTTTCCCTGGTTTATCGTCACACAAGCATGCGGAAGAAAGACAGGAGCCAGTATCCTGCAATCAGACTGTTTGTTCTGTACCAGCTATGCAGAGAACACCATCTGAGAAACTACAAAACATTACTTCAGAGGTGCTAATTTATCATACAGATGAAATTATGAAACTGGTTTTGTCTGGGAGTTTCTACTGCTTCTCTGATCAAGTAACTAGCAAATTTCTGTCTACTACTAAGAGCAAAACCAGTCCTTTGCTCACAATGGGGATGTGACTTCATGTTGGCAGCACAGTCAGAACCAGGACCAGACCTCTACAAGAAAAAATACCCCCCCCCCCAACCACTTCATTGCATAAACAGAGACTGGGATTTATTGAAATCACAGGGGAAACATATCATCCCTTAAGAAAAACAAACTTAGAGCCTGGCATCTCCTCTCACAGAGTTCAAAAGTATTTGGTGGATAGCAAATCAGAACACAAATCATTACAAATTTCTGTCATAGCTGAATATACTCTTATCTGATGCTGACTGACGACCGGGATGATCCACTGAGGACTCTTTTGCTCCATGCAACCTATACAGGTTAAAATATAGATTTCATTCAAACCCAGTGTGTAAAGCATTTATAACATCAGAGAAGCCAGGTGAGATAACACATTTACTCTTCATGGCAGAATGACAGAAAAGATCTTTATTCAGCAAGGGATCTTCTGTACTATATACATCATTCTTAATGTATTTAAACTGGGTTATTAATGCTGTCTGTAAGACTGCTGCTGCTCCCATAGGCACAGCACCAGGGAGATCTTCTGTGAGCGCTCTGTGTTAAAACACACGTGCACACAGGTTGCACAAAACATTAATCCGTCATTTGAAGCACCTTAACTTAAAGCCAGTGTATTTCTTTCTCTCCTTTCTTTCTCCTTTTCTCACACACTGGCTTCAAACTCTTCTTTAAAAGCCTTCACTTAAAACTGTTATATTATACTTGATGCTAAACTCCCAGTCTTGTGATCCTGCCACCCTAACTGCCCACACAGAACATATGTATGGTCAAGCCTCTACATACTCCAAACACCTGCTTATACACTTCACATGAGGAATGAGAAATGGTAAAGATAGCAGGAAAACACCACTAGTTGAACAGAAACCTAGCAATATCTGGACCAGATCAGAAGTTAAAAACCTTCCTTCCTTAAAGGACCAGGAAGTTAAAATCAGTTTCCAAGCCTGGCATCAAGAAGGTATAAGTATGCGCAGTTTCACCATACATACACTGTACCACAAAAGGAGTCTCAAAGCTGTCACGTGGAGTTGGTACCTCACCCTGCCTGAGTCCAAACAAAACTGCTGTCCCCTTCTAAAACATTTTCTAATCTGCAAACAGCATGAGCAGGTGATATGAAGGCTCCTAGCATGCGAACTCTCAGCTGCAGAACCCCGTGTCTTGCTGGATGCCACAGCTTCCAAGTCAACGCTTAATCAGAGACCCCCATTGAACTCCAGGGGACTCCATTTCCAGGAGACACCATCTAGAAACCATCTTGCTGTCCTGGTCTCTTCCCTGCCTGCAACAGCCACCAACCCTCCTGGGCAGCAGCGCTGCTCAGAGATAAAACTGGGCAGTGCCATGCACTGACTGCTCCTCCTGGCCAGCCCTTCTGCAGACCTGAGCTAAACCTAGCTAAACCCAGCTAAACTCAGGGGATAGGGCAGGGAACAAGCTGGTGCCTTTACACAAATTGTTTTAACAGTGTTACTTTTATGTACTGGAAAGTAAAGCCAGAATGCTGCTTTTAACCCCTGCTTTGGCCAACAGTGAGAACTGGAAAATGTATTTTTAGTTCCAGTGTGTAGAGGCACTGATTATTTTGAATAAATCCTAGGGGTAAAATACTGAATATCTATGTTTGTAATACTAGTTTCCGTTGGAAAGTTCTATTTAAGAACTGCATCAATTTTAAATGTTTTCCTTTTGGGCAAGGAGGAAGGGGGGCAAGAAAAAGAAGGTGGAGATTATTTTCACTCCTTTAAAGAAAGCAGAACAACAACTAGCTAGTAGTATTTTCTCTCAACCTATACACATGCTTTTTGTCATTCAGCAGAAATAAGAATTTGGTTTAAGCTCCTGCAGCAAGGGAAAAAGAGCCTCATGTTACATATTTTCTGAAGTGATCCTACTTCTTTGCTGAGAAATCTCGTGATGAAGATTTCTTTTTTAAAAAGCAGGTATACACAACAAGGGACACTGAACCCTTTATCCCCTGTTTTCACTGCCTACATGGTAATGTAAGATTTGTTTACTTTAATGATTGTGGGAAATACAGTAGCTGTAAGTTTCAGAAATATTTGGTTTTCCTCCAGCAATTTAGGGCTTCTATAGGGTGTTAAAACCAAGAATGCCACTGGTCATCAAATGCAAAGGTAGTACAACACAGTTACTGGAACACGATCGCGGTATCAAACAGATATTTCACTGTAAAAGCAAGAAAACAGCTAACTCCTCCACTTCAGGGGAGCTTCCACAGGATTTGTTAGAATGTCAACACTGTTAACTAAAACACCATGGAGGAAGCTGGTACCAATTTCCAGCCAAACAGCACACTCCAACCCTTTCTTCCCAAGCCAGAAATATTATACACAGCACTTCTGGGAAACAGAACTGCTTTCCTTTAAATTATACTTCAACAGGATACGGATTTCATAAGTTTAATTGGATTTCTGCATAACCTCCTTCCAGTATCACTGGTTTAAAATGTTTTGCTAGGCATATACATCACAAAATATATTTTTAAGTTCTTGAGCTGTTAATATGCATCCATTCTCCAGTTTAAAAGAAATACATTTGTGGAGTATGAGAAACAGACTTGTACTTGAGCACAGAAATTTTAAGCCCGCTTGTTTAGTTTGGAAGCTCTTTAACAGAAAGCACCTAGCAAGAGATAAGGTAGTTTAACCTGAAAGAAGACTATTCTGCTTGCAGTGTGTGTCTGTTACAAAAAAAAAAAAACACCACAAAACCAAACACAAAAAAAACAAACCAGAATTTCTAAGGCGTGAGATTGTAAGGATGTCAAAAATATGTCTGGACATGCACATATAACATGCTAACCTAACCAGCCGCTTCAACTGATAAAACTATTCCAAGGTAAATCACAAGTTTCAGGATCCTTGTTGATCCCGCAACAGAACGGTCTGGACCAGTGAGGCATATTGTGTGGGCTCTTCTCTCTTTAATGTATTTTTGGGGGATTTAGTGGTGTCAAAGGCACCAATTGCTTTCCGAACACTAATTCTAGCCACTGGCAGTGACCATCATGGCTGTGTCCATTTGGATAAGGTACAGTGCCACCAGTGGTGGTGGGGGTGACGGTCATTTTGAAGACACCCTGTATCTTCAACATGTAGCCTCTGCTCAAGAAAATATTTCTGTTTAAAATCCTGTTTGGAAAAAACCAAGTCACTGAAAACCTCCATTAATGATGAATTTCCTATCAACAGAAAATAAGCTTCCTTATTTCACCAAAGAATTGTGTGACTTTATTTCTGCAATTCCCTGCTAGGACAGCTTTCTTTAAATGTAAAACTGCAAACA